CCTGTTAACAATTGATAAATAAAAGTTGAATGTAAGTTTTAATGGGACAACTGGTGACAGATATACTGTGAAACCTGACAAATTGACGGCATTTGTGTATCGTTTTGGAAGTTGCCTTATTTATTGGTATAACTTCTGGTGTAAGCGCACAGCTGTTGTCCCAGATTGAACCTTGCTTGTTACTACAGTCACTAACCCGAGGCCATCTGCTCGTCCTTGCTTCTTATCTGCTGCTCTGTTGCTTCTTCTTGACTGACTCTGGACCAGCATCTAACCTGGTTTGCTCTGATCCTACCTGTCCACCTTGGTCCCAGTAGACTACTTGCTCCCATCCACTGCTACCATACAGGGTATTGCTGCTATTTCAGGTGGGCATTTCTTCCTATTATACGTGATTGTAGCCGTATTAGTGCACTTGCGATAGAAACAATTGAGTACTGTCCGTGATACTTTTTTTTATTTGCACTAACATACAATTTTCAGGACAAGCTTTTGGGGTATGTCCCCTTCTTCAAGGTCCAAGACATATCCCAAAAGCTTGTCCTGAAAATTGTATGTTAGTGCAAATAAAAAAAGTATCACACTATAGAGGGATATGCTTTGTCCATATTTCACGTCTGAGGTTTATAACCACTTTAATGAAGTTGGTTACACCATAAAGCCCAAATTACCTGGACATGGACATTTAAAGAAGTTAGTAAAGTTGACCATCTAACTGTGTCTTCTGCACCAGGTTCTCCCCCAAACAGAAAAGCTTTAACTGCTTCCCGACCACCCTATAGCAGAAATACTGCTACAGGGCGGCACAGGTGCGCAAAATCACGTATATATACGTGATTTTGCATTTCTGGATATGTGGCGTTGCCGGCAGCGCCCAGTGACTTCCGACAATCACCGATGCGAAGGAGGACTGTTTTGTTTACTAACAGTCCTCCTCCCTGTCAGTCCTCCATCCACTGCTCTGGATGGCTGTGCACAGCACATACAGCACATAGTTAACCCTTTGGTAACCCCTCATGTTAACTCCTTCCTACCCAGTTCCATTAGTACAGTGTCAGTGCTTTTTATTACCACTGATCACTGTATTAGTGTCACTGGGGATGTCAGTAACACCAATTCAGTTCCCCCCAGTGTCAGAATGTCCGTCGCGGTCCCCCAGTCTTGCAGTCCCGCTATAAGTTGCTGATCGCCGCCATTACTAGTAAAAATGAAAAAAAAAATGCCCATCAGTGCCACCTACCAGTACCTCCTCATCAGTGCCCATCAGTGCCATCTATCAGTGCCCATCAGTGCAGCCTATCAGTGCCCATCACTGCAGCCTCATTAGTGCACATCAGTGAAGGAGAAAAATCACTTATTTACAAAATTTTATAACAAAAACTAAGAAAAAAACATTTTTTTTTTCAAAATTTTTTAGTTGTTTTTGGTTTGTTTAGCAAAAAAAAAAAAAACGCAGAGGTGATTAAATACCACCAATAGAAAGCTCTATCTGTCTTAAAAAAATGATAAAAATTTCATATGGGTACAGTGTTGCATGACCGCGCAATTGTCATTCAAATTGTGACAGCGCTGAAAGCTGAAAATCAGCCTGGGCAGGAAGGGGGGGTATAAGTGCCCTGTAGGCACATGGTTAATTGCCCATGCCTTCCTGATTAAGAGGGGAGATGGGGAATCAGGTTTTTGAATCTGCCCAATTGATTTGTTTCTGAATGATGCCTATTCGACTCTGTTATACGTTGTTCCACAGATTTAGGATCATCTGATCCAGCCTCCTACCTACACCTCCTCCCACCATGCCACCAAACAAGCCTACTTCGTTACCCTCATCAACACCCTCTCCACCTATCCTCGCCGGCTCTTCTCCACTTTCAGCTCCCTACCCCCCACCCAGTACCTCACTCACTGCCCACGAGATTGCCAATCACTTCCAAAACAAGATTGATGCAATCCGTAAGGACATCGCCAATGCTCAACCTACCTCCCCACCTAGCCTCCCTCCCACTATAACCCCATCAACTCTCCCCTCCTCTGACCTCGCAACCGCCCTGCCCCCCACCACACCTAACATCCCGCACACCTTATCCTCCCCAACACTCCGCTCCTTCAGCACTGCTACCACTGAGGAGGTCACTGAGGTCTTCTCAGAAGCCCGCCTCACCACTTGCCCCCTTGATTCTGTCCCCACAGAACTCCTCTGGTCACCCTCCTCCTCCATCCTATGCTCCCTCACCCACATCTTCAATCTCTCACTCTCCACTGGCGCATTCCCCTCCCCCCTAAAGCAAGCGCACATCACTCCCATACTCCAAAAACCCTCCCTGGACCCCACCGACCTGAACAACCTTAGACCCATCTCCCTGCTGCCATTTACTTCCAAGCTCCTTGAGCACTTGGTCTACAATCGCCTAAGCGCCCACCTCACTGACAACAACCTCCTCGATCCCCTACACTCCACTGAAACCGCCCTACTCAAACTCACTAACGACCTGCTATCCGCCAAAGCTAATGGCCACTACTCAGCCCTCTTACTCCTCGACCTTTCCACGGCCTTCGACACAGTTGACCACCCCCTCCTCCTTAATAAACTACACTCCCTTGGCATCAGAGACTCTGCTCTCTCCTGGCTCTCCTCCTATCTATCCCAACGCTCCTTCAGCGTTACCTATAATGCCACCGCCTCCCCCTCTCTCCCCCTCTCTGTTGGGGTCCCCCAAGGCTCTGTCCTTGGGCCCCTTCTCTTCTCCATCTACACCGCCTCCCTCGGCAAACTGATACACTCCCACGGCCGACTGCAGGTCTTCACCAGGACTTCCCCCATCCTCTGGAACTCTCCACCCAATCCATCAGACTGTCACCTTCCCTCCTCACCTTCAGGCACACCCTGAAAACCTATCTCTTCAGGAAAACCTACCCTACCCTCACCTAATTGCTGATCTACACTCTACACTCCTCCTACTACTCCATCCCCCACAGCCATTTCCTCCTGTACCACTATCCCCTCCCTCCTAGATTGTAAGCTCAAAAGAGTAGGGCCCTCAAACCCCTCATGTTTTGTCTTGTTACTGTATTGTCTCATGTTCTGTCCCCACTATAATGTACAGCGCTGAGCAAACCTTCTGGCGCTATATAAATAATGTATAATAATAATAATAATCCAGCCATAACAGGCCAGATTGAGAGACTATCATCTATGGGCACCTTTAAGTGGACCTTTCCCTCTTAAACCTAAAAATCTTAGGTGTATCTCTAATCATTCTGGAGTCAAATATAAAAACAATGGTTTATCTGTTTCCTTATGCATAGATGTTTTGTACCTCCTGGTTTCCCTGAGGCACTGGTGATGTAGCTCTGCCCATACCGGTGCCCCCTGGGTAGGGCCACATCACCAGATCTTGTTTCTTTCCCCCTAGATTTTGCCGTTAAAAATGCTTTTCTTTTTATTCAGAACATGAAGGACCAGACTACTAACTTCAATGTTTACTACTAAATAGACTGAAGGGGTCCCAGTTTATGACACCATGTCTCCAATACGGGCAGCACAGTGGCTAAATGGTTAGCACTTCTGCCTGGCATTACTAGGGTCGTCGGTTCAAATCCCAACCACAGCACCACCTGCCTGGAGTTTGCATGTTTTCCCTGTGCCTGCTGGGTTTCCTCCAGGTACTCCGGTTTCCTTCCACATTCCAAAGACATGCTGGTAGGTTAATTGGATCCTGTCTAAATTGGCCCTAGTATGTGTATGTATGAATGTGATTAGGGACCTTAGATTGTACACCCCTTGAGGGTTAGGGACTGATGTGAATGTACAATATATATGTAAAGCGCTGCGTAAATTGACGGTGCTATATAAGTACCTGAAATAAATAATAAATATCTGGGTTCTCCCAGTTTAAAAAACACATATGAATGGTTGTCTTCCATGCTTCACTCTTTGACCAAGGTATGTAACAGTCTGCTCTGCCTTCATCAGTCAGGGATGCTTATGCCAGTCACAAGATTAAATAAAAAAAAAACCTTGCCAACCAATCACTTTCCTGCACTGGTCTGCTTGTCTACATTCACAGTCTGCTCATTTATGAAAAAAAAAATCACCTACACAATCAAAACCTGTTTATCTAGCATTAGTAATTTTCATTTATACTGTAACTCAGCCTTTCTCAACAAGGGTACCCTGGGGTGCCTTGAGGCTTCTTCAGGGGTGCCTTGGCAAAATGTCTAAAAAAGCCACCGTGTGGAACAAGCCTGCCTTTTAGCTACACAAAGTCACAGGTTTTCATTGTGCACCATTATTACCTTCTACCGCCGGCATCCTGACAACCAATGACATCATCAGTTGATAGTGAGGATGTCAGCTGCCTGCACAAAATCCTATTCTGCCCCTCTCCTGCCCCTCTCCATCAGTGCTGGGGTCACATTAGCTCAGTGATGGAGAAAAAATGAGAGAGAAGAGAAACAATGGGATACTAGTCAGTACTAGTGTGCAAAAGTGTATTTGCTTTGGAAGAATAAATTGCCTCTAATGTTGAGTGTCCTACATGTGTGGATGATGCTGCGTTATATAAAACTATTAGAATAGTTTTTCACATTTTAGAATGGGGTGCCTCGGGACTGTCTATAATTTTAAAGGGTGCCTTGGGACTGTCCATAATTTTAAAGGGTGCCTTGGGGGACTGTCCATAATTTTTAAAGGGTGCCTTGGGACTGTCCATAATTTTAAGGGTGCCTTGGGACTGTCCATATTTTTAAAGGGTGCCTTGGGACTGTCCATATTTTAAAGGGTGCCTTGGGACTGTCCATATTTTTTAAAGGGTGCCTTGGGACTGTCCATAATTTAAAGGGTGCCTCCGGGACTGTCCATAATTTTAAAGGGTGCCTTGGACTGTCCATAAAGGGTGCCTCAGAACCGTTTATTAAAGGGTGCCTTGGGACTGTCCATATTTTTAAAGGGTTGCCTCGGGACTGTCCATATTTTTAAAGGGTGCCTCCGGACTGTCCATATTTTTAAAGGGTGCCTCCAGACTGTCCATAATTTCAAAAGGGTGTCTTGGGACTGTCCATAATTTAAAGGGTGCTTCAGGACTGTCCATAATTTTAAAGTGTGCCTCTGGACTGTCTATATTTTTAAAGGGTGCCTCTGGACTGTCCATATTTTTAAAGGGTGCCTCTGGACTGTCCATATTTTTAAAGGGTGCCTTGGGACTGTCCATAATTTTAAAGGGTGCTTCTGGACTGTCCATATTTTTAAAGTGTGCCTCTGGACTGTCCATATTTTTAAAGGGTGCCTTGGGACTGTCCATAATTTTAAAGGGTGCTTCTGGACTGTCCATATTTTTAAAGGGTGCCTCGGGACTGTCCATAATTTTAAAGGGTGCCTCGGGACTATCCATAAAATTTTAAAGGGTGCCTTGGGACTGTCATAATTTTAAAGGGTGCTTCTGGACTGTCCATATTTTTAAAGGGTGCCTCGGGACTGTCCATAATTTTAAAGGGTGCCTTGACTGAAAAAAGGTCGAGAAACACTGCTGTAACTTATTTCAAAATCTCACCTTTCTCAATGTCAATATCATATTTCTATATACAAAATTTTGTAGCTGAAACTTCATAAAATAAATCGTTGGAGAACTTGGTTAGAAGCGGAGATAGTCGGCTGTGATAGGTGCACCACAAACCCACCAACACCTGTATATTAGACTGAATTTAAAATGATACCATTTATTTTAATATATTCCTTTCCTATAAAAGTAACAACTTTAACCTGGCACCATGCTATGAATAGAAGTGACTGTAATATTCTATAAATATGGATTTCATCTGAGGATGTCCCTATGAACTGGGGGCAGCTCTGACAACTAAGGATACCTGTCATTAAAATATTTATGTCTTCCGAGCAGGCATTTTTAGGTCATTCTGTTCGCTAAGCCTTTCCCCTTGGCCACTTCTACCAGCCCAGTCAACAAAATATAATAAAAGCCTACCGGTTAGGAAGCCCACACAAGACTTACCCATTTTTTTGAAGGTTCTCAGCTCATGGCTCTTGGTGGACTGGACCTGCTCTGCCACCACTTCAGGTTCCTCCTGGTACTTCTTCTTCTTCCCCCCACATAATGTGCTCCAGAAGCCAGGCATTTCATGCCTTTTGCTGTGTCCTTCTTGGTTGCCCACCTCCTGCCCCTCTGTGCCACCAAAAATTCGCTCCGATTCCCTTCCACTTGGGTCCCTAGCACTCTGCAGTCCCTCCTATGACATTACACTCTCTCACTAACTGGAGTCTGCACATAGCCCAGCGTCTACCTCTCAGTTTCTCCCTGCCTGTCTCTGGAGCCTTTGTGTGTGATCAGCCTCAGTCCAGCCTCCTTCCCTTGCTCCTCCTCAGCACTGATTTTCCAGTCTTTGGCTGACTTACTCCCCTGGAGTCGCATTTCACCATCACAGTCACTCTCTATCTTCTTAAAGCGCAGCACACAATCTCAGCAGGCTGGGGCTCCATCCATAATGCCACGAGATCCACCACAAATATCAGATAGGAAGAGATTATGTGATGACTACAGTTAAATGTAACTATAAACCCTCACTGAATGGCATTTCGTTTGCTAAAGCACTGTGTATTATAAACAATTGCCTTTTTTGTAAATAACTCTTTTAGATTGTAAGCTCCTATGGGCAGGGTCCTCCTGACCCTCCTGTATTGAATTGTATTGTAACTCTCTTTTATTTTGTAAATTGGTGCTATATAAATCATGTATATTAATACAGGCATACCTCAGTTTACAAACGCCTCGGTTAACGTAATTTTCGTTTTACGAATGAAAATCCATTGAAAATAACGCCTCAGTTTACTAATTTTTTTTCGCAATACGAACGGATCGATTAGTTTACAAATTTTTTTTAATCATGTCCCTGTACAGTATTTATGCCTTCAAAGTGCACGTTATAAAGAGTTTTGAACAGATAAGACTTTTTTTTACTTTTTTCTGACCTCTGGAACGGATTAATTGGTTTTCAATGCATTTACGATTTTTTTTTTAATCATGTCCCTGTACGGTATTTATGCCTTTAAAGTGCACTTTATAAAGAGTTTTGAACAGATAAGACTTTTTTTTTACTTTTTTCTGACCTCCAGAACGGATTAATTGGTTTTCAATGCATTTACAATTTTGTTTTTTAATACTGTCCCTGTACAGTATTTATGCTTTTAAAGTGCACTTTATAAAGAGTTTTGAACAGATAGACTTTGACTTTTTTCTGACCTCCAGAAAGGATTAATTGGTTTTCAATGCATTTACGATTTTTTTTTTTAATCATGTCCCTGTACAGTATTTATGCCTTTAAAGTGCACTTTATAAAGAGTTTTGAACAGATAAAAGACTTTTTTTTCCTTTTTTTTGACCTCCGGGAACAGATTACTTGGTTTTCAATGCATTTACGATTTTTTTTTAATCATGTCCCTGTACAGTATTTATGTCTTTAAAGTGCACTTTATAAAGAGTTTTGAACAGATAGACTTTTTTTTTACTTTTTTCTGACCTCCGGAATGGATTAATTGGTTTTCAATGCATTTCTATGGAAAACCCCGTTTCGGTTTACAAATTTTTTGCAATATGAAGAGTCACGTAGAACGAATTAAATTCGTAAACCGAGGGTAAACCTGTATTTATAATAAAAAAAACTTGTTTTAACTGTTCTACTGTCTTTTGTTGCATCTCAGTGCTGTGGATCTTTTGCAGCTTCTTTGAAGCCACTTAGGGCTCATTCACACTTGACTTAATTTCTAACTCTTGCCAAACGCCCCTATAGCATTTGAGAGGCGTTAGACAGGCGTTTGGGAGGCGTTTTTAACACTCCTCAAATGCTCCCCAAACGCCCTATGCACGGTTTCGAGGCGTTTGCCAAGCGTTAAAATAGCACCACAAACGCCTATAATGAAGTTAAATTGTATTAACGCTCCACAACTGCCTCACAACCGCACCGCAAACACCTGCCAGGCGTTTGCGGAGCGGCACCATAGATTTGAATGGAAGGCTTCAACTCGAGGCGTCAGTTTTGCCGTGACGCAACGCGACGCAACACTAACGCTTCAGTGTGAACAGCACTGTGGGCTGCCATGTGCAGAATGTTCATAGGCGTTTGAGAAGCATTAAAAACGCTTCCCAATCGCCTGACTGACGCCTGCTGACAGAGCTAGTGTGAACTGAGCCGTACAGTCTTCATACATGCACACATAGCTCCCAACCATTCCTCATTTGCAAGGACTGGCCCTCTTTTGGATTCAAATCCCTCCTAACTCCTTAGTTGTTCTTCTTTTAATACATATCTCTAATAACTATCAAAAATGTTTAAGCACCATAAACCTTTTATCCAACCTCTAAGGCTAGGTTCACACCTTGTGTGTGCCAGGCATACTGTACATGCAAAATCGTTCACTTTCCCGATGCGCAAAGAAACGTGCTGTCCTTTAGCAGACACCTGGAGGCGCCATTAATTGTTCATGGTACCCCCGTACACCTGCTGACATGCACGTGTTTGCGTGCCAAACTGCATGGTGCTGCAGTTTGGTGCAGTATGATTTTGAAAAAGGGTCAGTGATTCCTTTTGCACATTTGTCACGCATAGGGCATCCAACTGAAACAAATGCCCTACATGCGAAAACACTCTCCATTGCTCCTGTATATTGTGAACATAGCCTAAGTGTTCGTTCACACCAGAGGCGGACTGACCATTTGGAAACTTGGGCATTGCCCGAGGGCCCGGGGGTCAGTAGGGGGCCCCATGAGATGCCCCTGGTACCTTTTTCATAGGCTTTTTTTGAGTTTGGGCAAGGACACAGGGGCCCCATTTTCCTATATTGTCCGGGGGCCCCATAAGTTGTCAGTCCGCCCCTGGTTCACACCATTGGCATAGAGCTGCATTTGACATCTTTGCCCAATACAGCCCAAGTGCATAGACCAGGCAATTTGCTTTGAGTCCCTTAAAGGTATTCAGTGCTTTGAAAAAGTATTCATACCCCTTAAAATTTTCCACATTTTGTCATGTTACAACCAAAAACATAAATGTATTTTATGGGATTGGATGTATCAGACCAACACAAAGTGGCACATAATTGTGAAGTGGAAGAAAAATGATAAATGGTTTTAATATTTTTTTACAAGTAAATTGCACTTTGAAATGTATTTCAGCATGTGATCTGAATATATTTTTAATAATATATTCACAAATATTATTATTATTATTATATTGTATTTATATAGCGCCAAAGGGTATGCTCAGCGCTGTACAGTAGCAGGGGGGACAGAACATGAGACAAGACATTAACAATACAATACACGAAAATATATTGAAATATATTTTTGAAATATATTGTATATGGCCAAAATTGTAGTATTTGAAATATATGTCAATATATTTGGGAAGAATATATTAAGAATGTGGGTCAAGTATAAAAGTTTGTCTTCCTGTAATAAAGACCAGTCACTGCTGCTCTCTCTGTTTGAGAGTGACTGGTCTTGTCTCCGCCCCCTCCTGTAGTTTTCTACAGGCAGCCTGTAGTGGCTGGAGACTGCTGGGTCCCTCTCACAGCTCTGCTCTCTGCATACCCATATGGAAGAAAAATATATTTGAAATATATTTTAATAATATTCTTCCCAAATATATTGCCATATATTTGAAATGCTACAATTTTGGCCATATTCAATATATTTCAAAATATATTTCAATAAATATATATGTATATACTGCATGTTGAAATGCTCTTTTATTACAAAATATGTGAAACACATTTTTGAAAATACATTTTAAATATACTGTATTAAATATACAATATATATGTATATACTGCATGTTGAAATGCATTTTTATTACAAAATATATGAAACACATTTTTGAAAATACATTTTAAATATACTATATGTCTTTAAAAATACAAATCTACATTTTTGGAATGCATTTTTACAAATATATGTAAAAATCTATGTTAAAATGACTTTTTTATATTTTAAAAAAAATATATTCTTCACATTTTTTTTAACATATAAAAACTCATTTTAACATATATTTTTACATATATTTACATATATTTGTAAATGCCTTCCAAAAATGTAGATTTGTATTTTTAAAGACATGCAGTGTATTTGAAATGTATTTGTAAAGATATTTTTCATATATATATTATAATAAAAATGCATTTCAACATGCAGTATAATCTATATATATATAGATAGATATATATATTTATTTATTGAAATATATGTTGAAATATATTAAATATGGCCATAATTGTAGCATTTCAAATACATGGCAATATATTTGGAAATAATATTTTTTAAAATATATTTCAAATATATTTTTCTTCCATATGGGTATGCAGAGAGCAGAGCTGTGAGAGGGGCCCAGCAGTCTCCATATAAAAATATATTTTTCTTCCATATGGGTAAGCTATGTCCAGCACAGTGATGATGTCGCCGCTTCTTTTACAAGGGAATAACGGGGTTTGCAAAGGCATTTGGTTAAACACAAAGTGAATTTTCCAGCACAAGTTGGAATATATTAAATTGAAAGTTTTTGTGCCTG